AAAAAAAAGAATATTAATGTAATTAAGATAAATAATCAGTCGGACGGTGGTGGGGCACGCCTTTAATCCCAGCACTCGGGAGGCAGAGCCAGGCGGATCTCTGTGAGTTCGAGGCCAACCTGGACTACCAAGTGAGTTCCAGGAAAGGCTCAAAGCTACACAGAGAAACCCTGTCTCGAATAAACCAAGAAAAAAAAAAAAGATAAATAATCAAAAAGTTACATGATGAATGCCAGATTAGCTTATTAGTTTGGTTTCAATATGTGAAAGAATACATTAAGTGCAATGACACATGCCTATAATCACAGCACTTAAAGTGGCGGAGGGGAACCAGAAGTTTGAGGTCATCCTCAGCCAAACAGCTCAAGCTCCAGACCAACCTGGGCTACACGAGACCCTATCTGAAAAAGCAAAACAAAACAACAACAAAAGATGTAAGGGTCTGAGTCTGGAGAGTTGGCTCAGCAGTTAAGAGTACTTGTTGCTTTTGCAGAGGAACCATATTTAGTTCCCAGCACCCATATCATAGCTTATAACCATCCAAACTCCAGTTCCAGGGGATCCTATACCTTCCTCTGACCTCTGCAGGCACCAGGCACACATATGATACACATACATACCTGCAGAGAAAACTCATCCACATAAAATAAGGTAAATCTTTTTACAGTAAGGAAGAAAAACAGATCATAAGATCACAGCATTATATTAAAGGTACAAAACTACTCATCACGATGTCTTATTTCTGAAACAACTTAATATCTGATAACCTCAAAACACATACTCAATAACATTTTAAAAGAGCGAATTAAAGTATGTCTGAAGGTTGGTAAAATCAAAGTAGGAATTTAAGATTCCAAATTCAAGATCAACTTCCTAGAACTAGAAAGAACAGGTCAAACAAGGACACAGAAGAATGGGAACGCAGCATCAGAGAGCCAAATGCACGGCTTTCCAGAATGTGTGCACCTTTAAAGGACTCTGCACCACTTACCTCCAAAAGTCTGCATTTGTCTTTATCGGGCACTTTTCCTTTCCCACTTGTGATTTCATCCAGGGATGTTTTAAAGGCTGCGATTTCTCCCTTAAATTTCTCTAATGCGGTGTCCGATTTGGAGCTGCTAGGCCTTGACCCCCACTTGCTTTTAATTAAATCTTTGGGACTTCTGGAAGACATCTTTGAAATGATCTGTGAAAAATAGATAAATAAATACAATTTTTAAATTCAAATGCAATTGAAGTCTGAGTTTAAACTTTTATATTTCAGGTCTGAAAGAGACCTTATAGTCTATTTGCTCTAAACAGAAGTGATTTATACAAATCAGTGGGATCCATAAAAAAAAAACTGAGGAAGATTTCTGGGGCGTTGTAATGATCCTAAAAAAAAAAAACCTCAGTTTGAGAGTAGATCTCTTGATATAGTCCAGGCTGGTTTGGAACTCACTATGTAACCAGAATGGCACTGAATTCACAATCGTCCTGCTTCAGCCTCCCAGGTACTGGGGTTATAGGAATGCACCACTACGCCTGGCAATGTTCTATAAACTAAAAGAAAGTTTTTGTTTACAATTAATGGAAGGGTCCCCAAACCTCATACTTTCAAGGAGATATACCCAAGAATAAAAAGCTGGTGGTAATCTAATTTTGAGTTTATGGGCATTATAAGTCATTAACATGTGTCCTCTGTTTTAGAAGGCATGCCTAATTGAACTCTATCTTAATAGCCTTTTGAGAGTAAGGGAAGAAGGGAGGAAATCCAACATAAGACATTTATAGAAAAAGAGGTATAATACTGAGATTTCGGGATGAAAGGAATTAGCTGGGCGATGGTGGCGCACGCCTTTAATCCCAGCACTCGGGAGGCAGAGGCAGGAGGATCTCTGTGAGTTTGAGGCCAACCTGGGCAACAGAGAGTTCCAGGAAAGGCACAAAGCTACACAGAGTAACCCTGTCTCGAGAAAAAAAAGAAAAAAACGAAAAGGAATTAAGGAGTCACAGAAGTAAGGATATGCTTCATATCTGCTAATAGTACTAGATGACAGTTTAGAAGCAAATGTGTAATACAAACTCTAGCAGCCAAATGTATAGTAAAATACACTGTACAAAGTGTATAAAATAGTTTTCCAATAAGGAGATTAAAAACAAACAAACATTTTCTACCTTGTATGCCCTGAGATAAAAATGATGGCAGTGTGATTAAGGACTCTAAAAAAAGAGACCATTAATGCATTCAACAATTACTACACAGCCAGGCATGGGGGTGCATGCCAATAATACCAATACTCAGGAAGTGGAGGCAAGACGACCAGTTCAAGGACAGCCTCATTTGCATATGGAGTTTGAGGGTTGCCTGCACTGCACAGAACTGTTTAAACAAACAACAACAACAAATTACTACAAAGCCTATTTAACCAGGTAGCCCAATAGGGGCTGGGTATAAGCTGGTTAAAGCAACAGGAGGAAGAGGAGACACCAAGGTCTCTGCAGCCAGGAAGCCTTCAGGACAGTGAGGCAGGCAACAGACTACAACAACAGAAACACAGATTGACATAGTCTCAAACTAATGAACACTAAGGGGAAATAATCATAGTCATAAAAGCGACCAACAGAAACAGGGAGATCCACTTAGGGTAGTCGGTGTAAGGTCATCCTGCATGAAATCCGCCTAAAAATAATAGAACTGTAAAGACAAAGTCGAGTAAAGTCTACATCAAAGCATTCACCCTCGATTTTTGCCCATCATCCCGTCAAAAACTAAGGCAGGTTGTCCACTCCCCTGAGGCAAATGCAGTTATTATGTCTCAGGAACCTGCTACCACAAAAGTTTCTCCCTGGGCTTCTGTTGGTGTCACAGGGAGGACTTGATACCCTGGACTGGCAGAAAGGGAACTACCAAGTCATTGAGCCAAGAATGGAAGACACACAGATCAACACAACTTGGAAGAACCCTCAGGACATTTGCTTCCTAACGCTTGCAGAGGCCGCCTAAATGACTCGGGCTCCTGACTCTGGTCTAGACCGACCTAGCCCACTCTTCCCCACCTGCATGCAACCCTGCTCCCACCCAGTTCTACCGCCTTCCTTTCCCAGTATTTTCCACTCCATTCATTCATAAAGTTCTCTTCAGGAACTCAGCAGTCCCGGTGGCATCTTCTTCAGGAAGCCCTCTCTTAACTCTAAGAAGGGCCACCGAGTTCACCACACATACACAAGCTGGTAGTCACTGATACCTGCTCCCAACATTTTTTTCAGTCAATAATTGTTCAAAAGAGCTGTATTTTATTATTACTTTTTTTTTTTTTTCATCCAAGAGCTGAAAGACAGATGCTCGGAAATCTCCGACTGGACTGGAGGGACCTAAGACATTCTGGTCAGGAAGAGACCAAAGAAGCCTTTCCATTCAGTAAATCGCACCAATTGTCTACGGGAATGGGGGGGCAGAAGGGAGACAGGAAAATAAAAACAAAGAGAATCGCTTGCTTAATAGCAAAAGGCCGAGCGCACGGGAGACCTGCGTCAGGTCGCTGGCCTCCCGATGCCTCTGTTAGGGAAGCGACAATACCGCAAAGTTGAAAGGGATCGAAAGGATGACGGTCGAGGTCGGCTGGCACCCAGCGTGGTGTCTCTCAGGAAACGGGCATGAATTCCAACGAGCCGAGCCGGAGTCCTGAGACCGTGATCCGCCCACCGATGCCGCCTCCTGTGCGGTCCAGTCCGGCCCTGGGGCTGCGGGCCCCGGCTGTCCTCTCCACCCTCCCCCGCCAAGGCCGGGGCCACTCAGTACCTGAGACCAAACACAGCGCTCGCGCCGCTGCGTCAGACCCCCTGCAACTCTCCAGCCCGGACACCGCTTCCGGGAGTTTGAATCCCGCGGCGGAGGGGCGGGACACGTCACTGCCGGCTTGGAAAAGGGCGGGGCGGGAGAGGGCGGGG